ATTTGTGCCTCATGAAATTGGTAAAGGACGGACGATCAGTGTCAAGAATCGAATTAAAGAAAGTTGGTACGAACACGCTGCCTTCGTGTTCTTGTCATGTAGCAAACGGGTATTTCTTTTTGGGTTCACGTCTAGGGGATTCGCATTTAATTCAGTACAAGAAGTCTCGGACCGAAAGAAAATTAAGTGACGCGATCAATGGTTTTAGTCCTACTGTAATGTATTCTCATTAAATTTAACGTTTACAACGTTATCAATATAATAAACTGATTGATTCTTTTTCCTATAGGCGAGGAGAAATACCATTGATTTTGATGCGGGTACGTGGGAAAAAATTGGTTTTTATTATCAAAATCCTTCAATTGATTGATAGCATTCTACATCTCAAATAGAATTGTACGAGACTGACATAATAAACAATACGAGTTCTTTAAGTGATGGCAGTAAGGTGGATATGAGGAATTCGACGATCGAATATCACTTTGTTATATGCGACACTCTTACTAATATCGGACCAATTGTGGACATGGCTTTTGGAGAATTGACGTTCTCAGAGGTGGGTGAATAATTTTCCAGTAGATAAAATATATGACGCTAATTTTAATTTTTATTATTATAATAGGAAGAAGCGCATTTACATAGCGTACACAAAAATCTTGAATTAGTTTCGTGCTCTGGACATGGTCAAACTTCATCCTTATGCGTATTTCATGTAATAAGATTTAACTTGCAATGAGATCAATGGAGTTATCTAACATGATTCTGTGATATTAATATTCTACATTTTATTAGCGCAACGTAAACCCTACAGTATTCAATTCTTTTTCTATGAGCGACTGTGTAAATATGTGGACGGTTTCTTGCCGAAATCCTATGTATCAAAACATCAGTATTGAAGTCACCGGAATGACTGATGATAACATTAATGGGAGTGTGGAGGAATTTGATAAATTTTTATTTATTTCAAAGAAACAAAGCACGATGGTGAAAATGAAATAATTCGTTCTGCCGGTTTCTGTGATTTTGAGATTAACTTTATCCATATTTCCTAGGTTCTTGCTTGCGGAGAAGAATTGCAAGAGCTTGAACATTCTGATTTTTACACGGACGGTTCAACCGTGGCTGTCGGAACATTGTTAAGTGGAATTCGCATACTCCAAGTTTATGCTAACGGCGTTCGACTTTTTGATCAAGGTTTTTCTCCGCTTTTTGGCTATACATTACGTTAAAAAAAAAATTTTTTTTAATCACGTGAATTTTTCTTCCTAAACTATTAGACGGAAAACTTACACAATTAATAGAAAATGATGGTTTGATCGTATTTGCAAGTATCATTGATCCGTATGTGCTGTTGTTATTGGAAAATGGAAACGTCAATTTGATGAAAATCGATGATAATTCAAGAAGCCTTGATTTTCACTCACTACCTACGCAAATCAATGTATGACTTCTTTTAGTCTGTCGAAAATTGTGTCCTTTTTTTAATCAATTTTCCAATAGGAGGCTCCGACAATATCATGTTGCATTTACCGAGATGATACAAATCTTTTTGCGCTTGTGAAGGACCTTGTGGACGTCTCATCCCTCGACAATGTTGGAGACCATGCCAAGAGTGAAAATACAGAAAAATTAGATGATGATGATGAGTTGGATGACCTTTATGCTAGCGCAGAAGTAACATCCCAAAATGTTGTCGAAGAGAATAAAATGGATATAGATGATAATCTATCACCGAATGTTGCAATGGTAGATGATCTTCATTTAATGGACGTGAAGAATTCGAAAAAAGAAAATTATTGGTGCGCACTGTATCGACAGGATGGTTCATTGGAGGTTAATCTTCTTGTTTCAGATGTCGAACATTTAGTGGCAGTTAATTTACCTTTTGAATTGCTCGTAGATTTATAAATTTCCGGAATTTGAGGAGGTCTTTAATTTCCCCCATTTCGATTTATCTCCGGCTGTTCTTGCGGATTTTAATACTCGACAAAATGTGAAATCTTCTGGACAGACGGTGGAAATTCAAGAGATTTTATTGATAAACATAGGCCATCGCAGCAAATATCCTTATTTAATTGTAAATATTGCATAGTCTCTGAGTGAACGCATTTCAAAATGTGCAATATTTATATATCTATTGATTTTCCAATGGGTAGGCGCGCAGTAATGTGGGTGATATAATAATATACAAGGCCTTCCGATACGTCCCTGGAACCGACCCTACGGATCCTTTTCAAAAGTCTCAAACGCAAGGTGAATTGGTTGACCGACTCGCCGTGCGATTTTCGCGTGTTCCTCATGAATACATTTCGCGTGAAACCATATACAGTGATATCCATGACAAACCTGTGTCAAGAAAGTCAACTCAGCAAGAATCAAATGAAGAAGAAATAAATCAATTTGACAATGACTTCGAGAAGCTTAAGACCTCACTTAGACAAACGAAAAAACGACTAATACCCTTTACCAATATTTCCGGATATACTGGAATATTTGTGACAGGTGTTAGGCCACTTTGGTTAATCTGTGCACATAATAATTATTTGCGGGTCCATCCAATGAGTGTGGATAACGAAATCAAAAGCTTCACGCAATTTCATAACGTACATTGCTTGCATGGTTTTTTGTATGCAAACAACGAGGTAACCTTGTATCACCCATGATAGGTTTTTAATTTGAATGGAGAAGATTTTCAATCATTAATTTATTATTTAAAGGATGTCTGTAGGTTATCAGAATTGCCAAAGAGTTTTAAATATGATATGGAATGGCCTGTGAGAAAAATCATGTTACATCGGTCCGTTCATGGAATTGAGTATCATCCGGAAATGCAGGTGTACGCATTACTTTCATCATCTCCCGTCGAATTCCTATTAAAAGATGAAAATGGGGAATCCATTGAAATAGAGCGAGGTAACATATTGAGAATGCTTCTGATTGATTCAAAAATTCTCTCTAATATTTTTACTTGCAGACAGCGCACAATTTTTACCGGAAACATTGAGATTTACACTTGAGTTGATATCTCCAGTCACTTGGGAAACTGTAGACAGGTTTTTTCAGTCGTGACCTACGTCATCTCTTGTCTAATACCCTCGTTTGTTGTCTAATTCACCAATAAAATAATTTAGACATGAGCTTCAAGATGACGAGCAGGGATTATGTATAAAATGTGTCAGCCTCCAGACAAAATCTACGTCAAGCGGTCGAAAATCTTTTATCGCAATTGGTACAGGATTCTTCCGAGGAGAGGATGTAGGGATGAGAGGAAATGTAATTAAATTTTGGATTGATGTTATGCTTCTGTTGTGGGTCGTGCATTTTTTTATTTTCTTTATTATTTGGACTTTGTCACCTCCTCTATTAAGGTATATGTATTTGAAATCATTGAAGTTGTACCCGAACCTGATAATCCACAAACAAATCATAAATATAAGTTATTGTGCCACGAGGAGGTTAAAGGTTCTGTAACGGCCATATGTGACGTTAATGGATACTTGTTAACGTGCGTTGGCCCAAAGGTAAAAATAATTTAGAGTTCCAAAAAATTTCTCGCTTTTATTGACCATCTCTATTAATTAATAATTTAGATATTTATCCGAGCTTTTGAAGATAATGATCGACTTATTAGCGTAGCCTTTATCGACATCCAAATTTACGCCAACAGTGCTGTGTCAATTAAGGATTATATTCTTTTAGGTGACGTTTATAAAAGTGTTTGGTTCCTCGGTTTTCAGGTGAGTGACTAAATTTCAAGTGTATAATTGGACTTTCGATTTTAACACATCGTTATGCATTACAAAGGAAGAACCTGCAAAGCTGGTTTTGGTAGGAAAAGACTATCAAGCTTTGGAAGTATCTTGTACAAATTTCATAATCGATGAACCTGTGCTATATTTTGTCGTAGCCGACATGGATAAAAACCTTCATTTGTTTCAATATGCGCCATACAGTGAGTTCTCTTAACTTAAATTAACCTTTGAATGACAGTGTATTGAAAATATTTGACTTTCCCTTAACAGATGTACAATCATTTGCCGGTCAAAAACTTATTCGTCGTGGAGATTTTCACGTTGGTGCGCAAGTTAAAACCATCCTGTCATTGCCAAAAAAGGAGTTGGTAAGAAGAGATATTTCCTTTGACCAAGGTGTCCAGCCGAGGTGGATGGAAGAAGAGAATAACGGGTATAAACAACTATGCTTATGCGGTAATATTTTTACTATAATCTGTATGTCATCGACATGATAAATAAATTTCATTATTAAAATTGATGTATGATCAGGAACTCTTGACGGAAGTATCGGAATAATTACCCCAATACCGGAAAAGATGTATAAACGTATGCAATTACTGCACGCTCAAATGGTGAATGGGCTTCAACACCCAGCAGGCCTTAATCCAAAATCTTTCAGGTATTTGTGAAGTCATTCTTCCCGAATTCACTCTTCATATTTCGACCTACATCTTCATGAAAATACAAATAGACTTTTACAATCGAAGCAACGATTAGCCACTAACCCGGCCAAAGGAATATTGGATGGAGATTTGCTGATCCAATTCCCGAACTTGGCTTTGCATCGCCAACGAGAAATGACCAAACAAATTGGAACAACTATAGACAGAATTATGGACGATTTGCTGGCAGTTCAAGAATCTTATGATTATTTCTAATGAAATTGGAAATCCGCCAGCTGTACGTATGTTTTAAACATATACTTTAAAATAGATTTGACTAATCAACCATTTTCCCGTTGAAAGCATTTTTGTTTTCGATTTAACAAAGGCTACTTTAATTGTAATAAAATGGTTGCAGTGATGAAACGATTCATGGTTATATTATTACGGAATTTTTTTTCTTTTAACTTAAATGATATTTTATTGTCTCAATAATTTAATCATGAAATTTCTTCAAAACTTAAGGTTGATTTAAATTTACAAATTTGTAATAAAAGAATATTTTTCGTTCGATTTTATAAAGCGAACCAGTAATAAATAAAAATATTTATTCCTAATCTCATAGTGTTTATTAATCTTTAATAATAATAATAATAATAACACGATGTATATACTATACATACAGTAAAAAGATTATTACAAACGAATTATTTATAAAAAATTTATTATAAAGAATATTAAGGATTCAAGGATCACTTACAAAATCCATAAATAATTTGTTGAAAAGCATTCCGTTATAAAAAATAGTTTAGCATTAATATCATATTATATTATATATTTTTTATTGTTATCTGAAAGTAATAACCATGTTCCTAGCAATTTGATTAGGGAAAAAATTTTTATTTATTATAAAAGAAATTTTTTATGCACATTGTTGAAGTACAAAATTTCAGCTTCAATTATTATAATCTAATCAAAATAATAATATTATTTCCATCACATATTTTAAGTTTTTACTTTTTATAATATTAGTTGTATATTGTTATCGTCATAACTGGCAAGTCTATTGCTAACCCAGGGATGATTCTTCGCATTACATACAATCAAGGTTAAAATTATAAGATTCTTTAACTCTTGAGGTGGTTTTGATCTGACCAACATAAGATATTTGCTAACTTCCTTCTAAAAATTCCGAAACGTACTAAGAGAGTTTATTTAGGGTTTAAAAGATATTTAAAACTTTATTGAAGACAACAGCGATCTCTCGTCTAATTATTTTCAATACTCTATTTATACCAGTTTCCTTCTTTTTCTTCTCACATTACTTACATAAATTCAATAAATTCTCCTCTTTCTCATTCCCGGCGTCGTGACCACGCAATACAATGCCACGTCACATATCCGCGCCTCACGACAATTAATATAATTTATTTAGAAATTGAATTTGATAATAAACATAACTGACCCAGATTTTTTTAAAAAATGTAATAACTGGAGTATAGTGAAGTTGAGATATTGGTGAGGTGACTATAAACTGAAGTTAATATGTCTATATATGTATAGAGTTAGCTAACAAGTAATATGAAAATTGTCTATCAAGTACTTTTCCCTTTGAACATTTGTATTAATGTTATATCATTCTCATTCATAGCAGTATTTCTAGTATCGATTCTTCTAAAAAAGTAAGTATCTATTACTTTCCTATAAATTATTAATATTTTATAATCAGACTGATATTCTTGCATAGTGCCTCGGCTAGTGCTTTTCCTCCTGATTCTCCTAAATTATTATTATATAAATATAAATAGGTCAGGGTGGTATTCTTGCATAGTGCCTCGGCTAGTGCTTTTACTCCCGATTCTCCTATTTCATTTCCAGATAAATTTAAATTAGTCAGGGTGGTATTCTTGCATAGTGCCTCGGCTAGTGCTTTTACTCCCGATTCTCCTAAATTATTATATTGTAAATTTAAATTGGTCAGGGTGGCATTCTTGCATAGTGCCTCGGCTAGTGCTTTTCCTCCCGATTCTCCTAAATTATTCTCACTGATATTCAAATCAGTCAGGGTGGTATTCTTGCATAGTGCCTCGGCTAGTGCCTTTCCTCCCGATTCTCCTAAATTATTATATCGTAAATTTAAATTGGTCAGGGTGGTATTCTTGCATAGTGCCTCGGCTAGTGCTTTTCCTCCCGATTCTCTTAAATTATTATATCGTAAATTTAAATTGGTCAGGGTGGTATTCTTGCATAGTGCCTCGGCTAGTTCTTTTCCTCCCGGTTCTCCTATTCTGTTCCCAAATATATTTAAATCGGTTAGGGTGGTATTCTTGCATAGTGCCTCGGCTAGTGCTTTTCCTCCCGATTCTCCTATTTTGTTCCCAGATAAATTTAAATTGGCCAGGGTGGTATTCTTGCATAGTGCCTCGGCTAGTGCTTTTCCACCCAATTCTCCTAATATATTCCAACCAATATCTAAATTGGTCAGGGTGGTATTCTTACATAGAGCATATCTTAATGCTTTTCCTGCTACATAACCTAATTTGCTTCTTTTCACATTCAACCCCGTCAGGGTGGTATTCCGGCATAAAGCTAAAGCCAATCCTTTGATGGCATTATCATGTAGACCTTCAATGCTCATATTTGAATCGGTTATATTCACATTATAAAAATCTCCGCACAGATAATTTGTTGGTACTTCTGTATCACGGATTAGCTCAATATTACTTGAATTTGGTAAATGTGATGTCGGTTTATCAGCTAATGTAAATATTAAATAATGATTTTTAAGCGTATTATTAGTTTAAATTAATTAGGTAATAAATTAGCATTGGTGTAAAAAAACATACTTTACCTTCATTTACGATAGTTTTATTATAATTAGTTAATTTTCTCCGTTTTATTGGGCCTATGGTAGATAATATATACTGTATATGCTAAATAATAAATTATTATTTAACAAAAATTAAAAACTTACCAGTTTTTTCGTTTAGCAAAAAATTTATAGAGTGCTTTAAAGAGGTTAACGAATTTTTACTATAGTATAAACTATCGGTGCTTCTGACAAACTCGGTACTGGACAAGGTATTATTAGGTTAGATAATTTATATTTCTTTGATGGTTAATGTAAAATGTTTACTTACGAATCATTCATAATATCGAGAGAACATTTAGAATAAGATTCTATAAAGAGATATAAGTTAAAATTAGTAGTTATTTTTTTTTTTAATAAAAATTCATGATTACCTAATAACGATTCTGCACTTAAACTATATCTAATAGTATTTATAATGTGATCCAATGATTGACTAAAATGTGTACAGGAAGCAGTCGTAATTTCTAGCTCATTTGTAAACTTTCTGGGTTTTATTTCTTGTAATTTTTTTTCTGCATCGTAAAATACACCACCAAATTCCCATTCCGGTGAATTTATTACTTCGTATATCTCATTAACTGATGGTCTCTGTAAGGGATCCGGATGCCAGCACTTTTCCATTAATCTAGCCCATAATTTCGGTGTATCTTCAGTAATTTCAGGACGTAGTCCGCGACATATATCTAAAGCAAGATTAGCATCATGCTCTCTATCATAAAAGGGACACTTCCCTGTTGTAAGTTCCCACATAATCATGCCTAAACTATAGATATCGGAACTAAAGGAATATGGTTTTTCGTTAAATATCTCAGGTGCGATGTATGATATGATTCCATATGCACCTGTTCCTGGATCTTTATCCGCAGGTCGACTAAGTCCTAAATCAGCAATTAACGAATAATTCTCTTGATGCACTAAATTATTCCTACGATTTATATTTTTTTGATACACTAATATATTTCCACTATGCAAGTCACGATGTATAATATTTTTTTGATGAATCCATTTAATGCCCATAACGAGACTTTTTAGGAAATTTACTTTCGACACTCTACTTCTTCCCCAGTCCATCCATTTAACGTCATCAAAATGCTTAAATAAATATTCGCGCAAACTTCCATGTTCAATATATGGCATAACGAATATATAATTTTTTGTTTTCGGATCTTGTGATACTCCATAAGATTGAATAATATACCGATTAGAGTTAGGTTGAGTTAGAGCAATATTATTTAACTGCGAAGGCGAATAAATAAAATATTTAATAATAATTATAAAATACTATATTATGTAAAAAAACTTCTACTCTACCTCCTTTATAAATGCCGAATCAATATTTTTAGAGTCTTTAAGAACTTTTAATATAATTTTTTCGGAACCTGCTCGATCAAATCCTACTTTAGAATAACCTGTGATTCTTCCTTTTACCCATAAAGCCGTAAATATTGTACTAAATCCACCTTCCGTAACTCGCTGGATATCTGTAAATTCTTCAAAGGGAATCCACTCTAGCCTATTTTTAAGGTTATTTCCATATGTTGATTTAATTAAATTATCAATATTTAGATTTCCACTATTAACAAATTGAAATTGTGCGGAATAACAATTAGTACACATGTCTCCATTTCCATATATAAGACTTCTTTTTTTATTACATCCGGAACATTTTTCAGGCATGTTTTATCGATCTTATATTATAAAAACCTGGTATTTTTAAGAAAAGAAAAATCAAATTTCAGTAGTTTAAATATTTATCTAACAGCAAGGCATTTTTCTATAAGAAACTTCGGTATAGAATAGCATATCACGTCATATGCAATGCACGGAGTAATTCTAAAAGTTCATGATTATAGTATAAGAAATTTTGGGAAATATCTGCCTCTTTTCTTCTTTGATTAGCCAATTAAGATTTCGAAGGTGAAAGCTTCTATAATATTTATGCTTTTGAACTTACCATATTTATACTGTATATACAGTATGATTATTGAAATCTCAATAGGGTAGCAGATTGGCATTTCATTTATTCCCAAACCATCTCTTTCTGCCAGCATTTTTTTAATTTTTTTAAATGAGAATAATTTACCTTAACGTACTGTAGTTATGGTATTTTTAAGTGATAATCAATAAGATGCGATCGATAAAGAATAACCAGTTCTATCGAATATTATAACGAATGAAATATTATTAAACTTCAAATTAGACCATCGAATAACACCCACTCTTGGCATGTGTACACTGAACTCATCTATAAGAATATTGAAACCATGAATATACTCAATTCAATTTATTAAGATCGTATAAATAATAACTTACATTCGTCTAAAATAGATAAAAAATTTTTGCCATAATAATCTAAAGCATTAAAATCTGTAAATATTGAGAAGAAATTTTTAAATTTTACTACAGTAGCATCACCTGTCTTGATCGTAAAAAAATAAACTATTTGTATATACTGTAGCATGTACGGTACTGCATTAATTTTATAAACCAGAAAATAAAATTTGAAATTCTATTTAAAAATACAGTACGGAAATTTCACCTGAATTAATGCACAAGTGCACTGCACGAGTGACTCATAGTGAACACCCCTGCGTCCTAAATAGCAGCTTGAACTCGACTGGTTTGTGAAGGAATGTCAACCGGTTTAAATTGCTGGTCCCAGAACTATAATATGGCGCTGTCTATAGTCTCCCTGTAGAATGCTTCCGGCTCATGTTGATGGTATCTACTGTATATTTGATAAATTGCAAATTTAATCTTTTCTATCTTTACTCCTAAACAGATTGCATTCTGAGGTTATTTATTAATCTTCAAGAAGAATACAATGACATAATATGAATTTTATACTATGGTTAAACATTTAAATGATTGCAATACACACATTATTAAAATATACAGTAATTTTTTAGTTAATATAATTAAATAAAAAAGAATATTATTCCAGTTAATAATTACTTGTAATTTTAAAGTGTTTTTGGTTTTTTGCTGTTATATTAATCTAGTGGTAGCATATCTTCAAATATATAATAATTTAACAATTATTTAATAGTATTTCTTATTTTATTCTTTAAAATTCAATATTATATTTATAGTATTTTGAAAATTATTAACTTGATTTATTCTTTTATATTTATAGCAACAGTATTTAAAATACAAGTGAAAAATGAAATATAATTAGAAATAATAATAGAAAAGTTGAAGTAATTATATTAATAAAGCAATTTATTGTTATAAATAAATATAATTTTTAATATATTGTATAATTTTTAACTTATTTAAATATACTGTATAGATTGTATATACTGTATATACTGTATATAATATGTAACAAAACTTGTTTAAAATTTTATTTATATAATATAAATATAAATAATTTTTTTAAAAACAAAACTATTCATATAAAATTTTAAATATATAAACAATATATTTTAACAAATATATATATATCCTTTAAACTCAAACTTATTATTATTATTTTTTTTTTCCTCTAATCAAACTGCTAGTAATGTGTTTATTAATCCTTTATAGGAAGCCATAATACAATATACATATGATACTATACTAAAGGTAAACTTTTTCTAATATAGCAGAACACTCGTTAACAAGTTATTTTGTGAATTTGTACGTGATCCTTGAATCCTTAATATCAAGACCATCGTGTTGCCCACATAATCTAGCTATTTACTAACTATTTTACTACAAGGGAGTAGGTTCATTAAGCTATTACTGCGTGATATTCAAACTTATTATTTTTTTTATAAACAAACTCTTATAAAATATCTTTAGAAAAAAATATATAATAACATACTATATTATATTTATAGAATAATAAAATTACTTTTGCAAATAAAATATATTTCAAAACTTGTATAAATATATAACTATCTATTATAATCTTAAAAAATTAAATTCCAAAAGCAATAATTCAAAAAAATCAAGTAAAGACTATTTTAAAAAAATAAATTCACATGTATTAAAAATAATTAATTAATATTTATATTATAATTTAAAATTTTTTATAAGAAATTTAATAATAAAATAATTAAATATTAATATTAAAGTATTATATTCAACTAATTTAAAATATTTGACAAAAATAGATTATAACAATAATTTATCTTTAAATATACAGTATATATATTTATTATTGCTTATAAAAAAACTTTATTTATCCTTGATAAAAAAATTTTTTAATAAAACAATATTTCAATTATTTAAAAACACAATTACTCAATAATACAAAGATATAAAATCAATTAAAAAATACTTAAAAATCATATAAAAATTTTATATAAAAAAGATTTTATTTAAATATAAAGGATGAACAAAAGTTTATAAACAACTTTTTTTTTTTTTAAATAAAATTTAATTTAAAAACTAATTAAATTTTTTTAATAAAAATATATTCAATATATAAGTGCAACATATTCAATTTTTAAAAATATATTATTATATAAAAAAAATTTTTTTTTTATTTACTTGAAAATTTCACTTCAATTTTTGTATAACTGCTAATACCTGCTAATAAAGAATTAATTTCTGAACAAAAAGCAGCCATAATTTATGGTTATAAAAAAAAAGATACCTATCATAATATCATAGCCAATGTTGAATACAAAAAAAATATGGTGAGTAATATTATAAAGCATTTTATTTAAACTGGATCCACAGAATCACAAACACAATAATCGGGATGATCGAAATAACTACGATTCCTTAATAAGCATGCCTGTATCACTCTAAAAAAACTTGTTACTGGTAAAAAAGGTAACAGATGTATTACAGTTGCAAAACTAATCAATCTTTTTATAGCCAAAACAGGAATCAAAGTATCTGAAAAAACTATCTGTCAAATCCTGCATAAAAAATAGTTAAGAAGTTGTATTGTTCATCCCAAGCCTTTTTTTTCAAAAAAAAATATTAAAAATCAATTTACCTGGTGCCTTGCATATAAAGACTGGACCATTCGAAACTTTAAAAAAGTAGTCTGAAGCGATAAGTCTATATTTACTCAATTCTAGCAAGTGAGTAAATGTCATGTTTGGCATAGTTTATACAAAGAGTGAAATGCTAAATACCTTTTTGTTACTATTAACCATAGCCCAAGCTGTATACATTGGGGTGTTTTTCATGATTCGGTATTGACCCCTTTATTTCTCTTTGCATCTTGGTTAAAGATAAGATAAAATACTTATTAAATAAAAAAAATAAAATTTTTTTCGATTTATTTTAAAAAAAAAAAAATTAGACTTATTTTTTTTCCTTATAGCAAAGTCATATATTACAACTCTTCAAGATTATTTTTTGCCAATCCTTTGAAATTTTGATAAAACCAATTGGAATCATAGTGGCTGCCCTTGGTTTCAATACGATAATGCAAGACCATATACCACAAAAATTACAAAGAAGTTTTTTGCTAATAAAAATATTCAGGTTATAAACTGGCCTTCTCAAAATTCAAATCTTAACCCAATCGAAAACCTTTGGCATTATATTAAAGTTTGGGCTCATGAGACCAAATCTAATAATTTAATAGAGCTCGAGAATTATGTTTTAAAATGTTGAAACAAGATTAATCTAGCATACTGCAAACAATTGATTAAGAGTATATCACGTCATATTACAGCTTGTATCATGGCTAAAGAGAGGGCTACAAAATATTAAAAAAAATATAATTAGCTATATAAATATCTATAAATCAATATAATATAAATTAATAATAAAAAAATATGTAATTAGATATTTAAAAAAATTTAATTTGATTTTTTTTTTTTTACATATTATACTTATTAAATAAATTTTTTTTCTCAAAAACTATTGCATAATTTTTTAAAAAATTTTTTTATTTAAAAGTTTAATTTTTAAAGATTTTAAATATATTTTTTATTTATTTAATTTTCTATTAATTTAATTTAATTTTTAATTTTTAAAGTTGTCCATAAACTTTTATTTATTCTCTATATATTGTATAACCTATAAAAATAAATTATAAGTTATAATTTTATTATATAAAATAAATTTTGATTCTAATTAATAGACAAATAATTTATTATTTTTATAAATTATATCTAGAAACTTATATTATAATAAATAAGCTAAATTAAAAATAATTATTTATACAATTTTAATTATAATAATTCAATATTATTTAATAAATAAACAACTTTAATTTGTTTAAGGGTTTTAAAAAAATTTTTTTTTTAATAATTTATAATAATTTTTTATAATTTATAAAAATAATCAACTATTTTTAAAAACTTTTTGTTTTTAAATCTAATTTTAATAATATTATTATTATTTAATAAAAAAAATTTTTTTTAAAATAATTATTTATAAATAATTTACAATATATATATATACAGTATATATTAAAAAAAAATTTCAAACTTGAATTTTTTAAGTATAATTTTGTGGATACATTTTTTTACTATTAAAAATAATAAAATATTTTATTTATAATAAAACAGAAAAGGTTATTAACCGTTTTACTTTTCAATACTATTATACATTGAAGATAAGATTTTTGATTGTCATACAAGTAGCATTCCTGATTGGACAGCAGAAAAAAACGATTTAACATGTGCGCACATACATACATAGGTTTCATTAAAACTTGTAATGGCAGAAATAAAGAAACGCCTTGCATTCTCGATTCTGCAGTTTTTACAGCAGTCAATTAAGGATGGAACCATTATAGAAGAGGATAAAAAGGAAGGAATTGATGTGGCAGGTACGAACTTCGTGGTGTGTTGCCGTCGTGATCGCGTCTTCGAAGATCTGACGAAAGAATGCATTTCTTCAGTACAGTGCATTAGTGAAGCTTTCGACGTAAACCTCGAAGATCCGGAGCAGAAGGAACTTTATAGTACAAGAGCTCCATTGTTATCAATTTTCGAAGTGGCAGTAAAAGCGCAGGAACGAGTGTCAAAGCCAGTAAGTTGTTTTCGCGCTTTGTTCTGTTAAGTTACTAGATAAATTTTACAAGATTTACGGATCAATAGCAGCAGTCAAGTGCAAGATCGGTTCCACAATCTGGTATGAAGATATCAAATTATCGTGGTTGGAATTTTTGATGAATTTTTAACTTTTTTTTAACTTGAGTTACTCCTCTATATTCGGATACAAGTGGTTGAAACTAAGGTTCGCCATTTTAATGACAACGTTATGATTCAGATTAACGCGCAGTAACTCATTCTATTTTCTTTTTGAAATTTATCAGATCGAGCTTAGTGAGGAACAAAAACAAAAAGCTGAAGAGTTGAAAGGAGCTGGTAATTGCGGCATTCAAGTTTAAAAAATGATTTATTTTTTTGGATCGGATATTACCTCAACATCTATGCATTCATTATCAGGTAACCGTAAGGTAGCAGAGAAGGACTATAAAGCTGCCATACAACTATATGATGAGGCAATTTCCATAAATGGAAACAATGCAGTTTATTATGCCAATCGGTATTTAATTTAATTCAAAAACTATTTTTGAGCAAGAAATACGAGGTTCGTTAATCTCATTAACTTTTTTGATAAAAACAAGAGCCGCAGCGTATAGTCAACTGGGTCAGCATGATAAAGCTATAGAAGATGCTACAAAATCGTCACAAATTGACCCATCTTATAGCAAATCATACAGCAGACTAGGGTAAAATTAGAAACCATGTTTATATATTTTATTATTTAATTTCTTTTTTCTTTCTTTTTTTTTTTTTAAAAAAAAATCATTGTTTTTTTTATGACAATCATTTATCCAATTATAAAAGACATGCTTACTTTTCCATAGGCAAATATAATGAGGCGGTCGAAGCATATGAAAAGGGTCTTTCACTCGATCCTAACAATTCTACTATGAAATCAGCTCTGGATGCTGCTAAACAAAGGATTAACGAGACTAGTGTCGACAATTTATCGGATAGAGGCACTCGTGGTGGAGCACCCGGGAGTAATCTGGGGGGGCTCGCAGGACTTGCTGGACTAGGCGGTGGTGGTGGTGGTAGTGGCGGGTTTGATTTAGCGTCTTTGATGAACAATCCCGCTTTGATGAGTATGGCAAACCAGATGATGCAAAGTGGGGCGCTTAGCGATATTATGAATAACCCTAATATTGCTGAGATGTAATTGAGTCATTATTCTCTCTGCATGTAGTTTTTTAATATGTGATCAATATCAACTAATAAGAATCTATTGATTATGTATACAGGGCGCAAAATATGATGCGTGGAGGGAATCCGCCTAATGTTGATGAACTCATGAATAATCCGGAGTTAGTGAACTTGTATGGCATATTTTTCATATTAAACTATTTTATTATGGTTATTTATTATTAACACGTATTGACACGCGCTCAATCATTCTTTTAAAAGGGCACGTCAATTCGCAAACAATCGAGGTAACCATTGCGAAAACATCTTTGTATTCCGGTATATAAAACGTGCATCTTATCTATTTTTTTCTTTAGGTTCTGACGGTAACCCTTCAAACGAAGAAACGCAATAGCAATATTTAAAAAAATCATTTCTAAAATATTAATAATAGTAGAAAACGACTCTATTCAATTGTGTATTCTTACTACACAATCTTGGTTTCATTCAAAAAATGAAATACTTTTATTTTTGGAAGAAATAATTTTTACGACAAAATAAATCAGACATCAAAAGAGATAATTTTTTTTATTTATGAATTGATAAGCATTTCGTTACAAATATGTTTTTTTGATTAGTATTTATGACGTGCCCATTCGTATAATCAACTTTTTTCGTAAATCCGATAAAGCTATTTACTAAATCAAGCTATGAATTTGAGTTTTCAACCGATTCTAACTTTATGGCCTTGGTTTCTTTGGAAGAATCATCCGGATCCGTACTGTCTTCTAACTTTCGTTTACTTCCTGCGGACACAGAACTAGCAAGTGTATCTTGATTTGAACTTTCAACCGTCGCACCTGGATCCTGCTTAATGATCTTGGTCGCTTTGGAAGAATCATCCAGATCAGTGTCTTTACCTAGCTTACGTTTGCTTCCAGCTTCAGATACAGAACTAGTAGCATCTATGTTTGAATCTAGATCAACTTTTTCCTCAAGATCGGACTTAACAATATTCGACGAATCGGCATTTTCTTCTGTCTTACATTCACTTTCAGCCGCGTTGTCCACATTTTTGGTTGAATCATTCTTATTCTTTTTACCCTTTGATCCATTACGTTTGTTTGATTTGTTATTGTCCTTCCTTCTTTGGTAATAATCTATCTCTTCTTGACCTACATATGACATTATATTCGAAGTTAAACCCAATGTTATACTAAAACATTAATGATAATATTATAAACCAACCTTCAACCACTGATACACTTGGCTTAACCCCGTCAAACTCCAAAGTGTCATTAGAAATCTTTGTCGCCACATTTTCAGCAATCGCGTCTTTAAAATGAATAATGCCTTTCTTCTCACTTGAGTTATAAGAAACAAATAGAACTTTTCCATACTCATCATTCACCTTTTTCTATGTAGAGAATTGAATTTACGATTAATTAACACGACTATAGTCATTTTGAAATATTTGAATAATAACATACTCGAATGGTTTCCCAGGTTTCAGCTGGACCCGCTCCTTCAAATTTCAACAAGCAACCTTTTATAAATCTTAGCTCTTTTTGTGCGGCTCCATTTTTCTTTTTTTTTGGTCCTTGCTTACGCATCGTGTTAGGATCCATTCCTTTTTCTGTGCACTTCATCTCGCAATAGTCAAACCTAGTATATTATTTGTGGTGGATAATAAACAATGGGTTGGAGAACATGAAAGAATATTTATCAAGAATGGTGGTAATTACTTCATCATCATCTTAATTGGTGATCCGTTAAACTCCAAGTTCATTTCTGAAACTTTCTTTGCGGTTTCGTGAGTGTTGAATCGAATAAAGTAAGACCCCTAAAAATAATAATTTAATCAAAACCTAAAAATTATAAATAAACTTAGCAACTAATAACAACGTTACTTTAAATTTATTTTGATCATCCAGGCGTTCTTGAATTTTTATAACCCTCCCGTATCTTTGAAAAAAGATGAAAACTTCATTTTTTATCATACGGTTAAACTCCTTTGGAAACCCTTTCTAAATTTACAATAATCCCGTTTAGTTTTTATCTAACCGAAATAAAAGTATCGATAAATCTTATTACCGCATAAATCGAACTCCACATAGCCGTTGTTTTAAGATGATCAGGAATTGGTAGTAATATCGGTGCCTTTCGACGAACTTTTGTACCCGACTCATCTACTTCCAACATTTCCGGAGATTCTCGCAAAGCCTCGACAATTAAACCATCATCCTTATAAACTTGCATCTTACGGAACTGACGAATTATGGCGATGGGAACCCCTGTTCGTCGTAAAACAACTTTCAGTCAAGGGCAATCATAAAAAATTCCACCAACGTGATTGAATCTTAAAAAAACACAAAGGATACAGCCTTGGGGATCTTTTCCACTTAGTTCTTTAAGAAATCGATCGTTGGGATAATTTTTATCTCCAAAGTAGTATTCAACCTGTTCCAGAATAAGTCTTTTTTCTTCTTTAACTTCCTCTGGAGTTCTTTGATTTGAACTCGGAGTTTCTAAGCCGGCTTCCGCAGTTGTTTCAGACATGTTAAAAAACAGAGGAAAGAACGTGTTTGATCCGAAAATAAATATCATTATGTTGCTACTGGTATTGTCATGTGATTTGTCGTCATTAGGATGGTAAATTACCCAAAATGGCTAGTTAACTCATGTTCACGTCCAATGGTTAGATGTTTACACGCGATAAAGTTTTGATTAACGATGATAAATGATTACCAATTGATAAAAATAATCATATTTTCAAGATTTAATATACTATGTATCGCATTATCTATAATTTTTTTTCGTAGTTAAACAAGTGAATATGTTTATTGAATCTTTATAATATATGATACATTGTATTGCATGAATTATTCTACTGTCTTGAATACCTGTCTTAAATTATGTTTTTAAATGTGATTTTGGAAATGAAAAAAGTTACTCTCTTTACTATTTATGAAATTTATGAAATTCAAATTAAAAATCATTGCTTGCAATTCATTACTACAGTTTATTCAAACAAAATCTAAACTACTTGTTATATTTTCAACTATTTCTTTAGTCCATTCTCAAATTACTATCTTATTTTGGTTCTAATTTTGATTTAATTCTTTTTTAATGGCTTCTTTTTGGTTTATAGAATTTTTAACTTTATATTTTTCTTGTTTTTCTGTTTTTGTTTTTTTCTTTTTCTTAATCTTCATATAACTGCTTTTCTAATACTTTTTAATTTCTGGTTTTTTTTTCAATTTTTGTAATTTGAAGCATTTGATATTTCAAATTTTTTTTTTGACTTGTTTAAAAATTAATCTTGATAATTTACATAATAAAAGTTTTGTTTTATTATTCTTGATTTTTAATTTTATTATAGTTAAAATTTATTTCATAATATTTCTTTTTAAAAAAATATTAAGCAAATATTTATAATATCTTTTCTTTGAAAAACTTATTTGTACTATATATTACTTTATTAACAATATATTAATATTGATTTATAAGTCTCAATTCTTTTTTTTTTAAATATTATTTAATTATTTGTTAAGTACTTAGTTTTAGGTTTTGTTTCAAATTTTCTTTTAGATTTTTAGAATGTTAGAATATAAAAGAAAATATTTGAAAAAAATTTTTTTTCTTTAATATAAACAATTAATTAAAAAATTCTTATACTGTATATCTTGAAGAATCATCTGTTTATATTATTCAAAATTGAAAGTTTATTATATATTATTTTATTCAGAAAAATTTTTTTATAATTTGTTTTAATAATATTTATAAAGCTTCTTCTATTTTATTTGCCTTTTAAAAATCTCTTCAATTAAAGTTTTTATGATTATTTATCTCTTTGAACTATTTTTTTATATTTGATTTTAATCTATCTATTTTATCAAGATATTTTTTTTATATAATTCTTTGATAAATTCTTTTGTTTCTATATCTATAGTATTTTATTTTAACAAAATATTGTTAAAGCATCTTGTTAATATCAATTAGTTTATATAATTTTCAATTCTTTTTTAATTTTTTTTATAAACAAATCTACTTTATTATTATTTATATTTTTACTATACATTTTGACTTTAGTTATTTGAATTATAATTTGTTTCTTATATATTAGATTAATATATATTATTCATAGTTATCAATTCTTATATTTATTGTTTTTTTTTTTTATATCTTTAATATAAAAATTCTATAAATTTTAAAGAATATTGATATAGATAATATTGTCTATTTGAATTTTTATTTAATTTTTATATAATATAATTAAAAGTATCAAATAATTGTTACTAGTTCTATCCACAATACTAAAAATACATTGTTCATTTCTATTTGAAAAAATCTTTTAAAGTTTGATTCTTTTTTTGCAACTATACTTTTGTTTTTTTAAAGGATCTATTTATATAGAAGCAATAAGATTATTAAAAGTTATTATATTTGTTTATTTTATATTTTTAACAAGTAGACCTGTGGGTCTATAGCATAGTAGTTAGTGTTCCACAGGTCAGATCACAAGATATCAGTTCAATCCCATGTAAAGGTGATTGAATAGAATTAATATGATATTCGGTACCATAGCCAGTCATGTACTGTTTCTCATAAGAAGCCATTTCACATGCCGATCCGGTAAGCGTTAAGATTGTGATCTCCAGAAAAGAAGTTGTGATGTAACGATCGTCCGGTTGGTGCTATGATGATCGCCAGAAGTTGAACAATAAAAAGGTGTAGAAGGTGTCCAGTTTGAGAAAAGAAGGCTTGGTAATCATTCCTCGTGGTACCTGGTGTCTCTTCCTGCAAGTTACTGATAATCTGGTTTGGGTTAGAGGTTTTCTCTACAGAGTTCTATTCGCTATAATAGGTACTACCTCCCAGTTTCCCCTTTCACTTCCCCTTAAAACATTTCCGGTTAGTAAATAGAACTTAATATAAAATAGCGACACTAATGGAACATATGCACATTAGCCTTGACTTGTCTGAGATGGCGATCAATAGCAAAAAGCCAATATGGAGATAAAATCTGATAATAATCCATGGTGGTCTAGAATAGCTCATAGATAGTAATTACCTGTAATACATGTAAGATACATATGTGAACTAAATAAAAGCCAACACTGGGTAAGGCCCTGCTAGTCAATAATAAAAAAAACTAATAATAATTTTATTAGAAAAAAAAAATTTATATAATGATAAAAAAAGAATGTTTTTACCTTTATAAAAACTCAAACTTGTATTTTGCTTTTAAGTTAATAAAAATAATTATTATTTAAATAAACATATATTTTTTTTTGTGATTTCTTTTTGTCAAATTACAAGCTTATTATTTAAATTGTTTTAATATATTTAAACTTTTATTTTTTTTTAACTCAACTAGCTAAGCTATATCAATACAGTATTTTAATTAGTGTC